TCTTACTTTACCATGTACCTACTTTCATTAGCAACTATTGGGATTGGCATTACAGAAACAAAAAAAAAAAAGGAAAATAGTGAAAATAGGTGTAGAGGTTATGGATAACTTTAGATTTATAAGGTAGAAAGTTTCCTATTAATTCCTTTTCATAACTCATCTGAGTTCTACCTTTCATTCATGACAAGATTGTCTCCCTTTTACTTTAAAATCTCTTATGTGTACAAAGATATCTCTAAACTCCTATATTATTTATTATTGATATCAGATATTGATTTCTTAACAACTATTGTTTTTTTCTTAATGAATTAAATAAGCTCAGTAATACACATTTATTACTTTTTAAACTTTTTTTGCCTTTTCTAGTATATTGCAAAGCGCAGATGAGTTATAAATATATATTATCATTGTTGCTATTTTCCTTGAAAGTCATGATGATGGGGAAATTTTTCTGTTTTCTCCACTAAATTTAGAAATTGAAATGCAAACCCACGAAAATTAATAGAGGACTGATTGTTGTAGTAATTAAAACATGGAATGTATTTGAAAAGATTTATTTTAAAGTGAAACATGATTGTTTTATATTAATTCATTTTTTAAAGCATATAATATGTAATTTACATGCTTAATGAATGCTAATATTACAACTATGAAGAATTCTGAAAGTAAGTTTCACACAAGAAAAAGGATTATTACCTGGATTCTCTCTCTGTTTTCGTGTTTCGTAAAGACTACTGATAATTACAGCTGAAGTCTACACTTACCAATTCACTTGAGCTGTCTATCTTCAGGAGATGAGAGCCCAGCTGAGAGCATCGGATCTTACTACTTTGCCAGGAATTTAGTGACATGCTAAATAGATAACAGCTCTTCTCATGTATGATCCACTCAGGGGGACATGGGCTAGAAAAGAGTCCTGAAAATAAGAGATAGTAAGTACCATGAAGCTCATAATACACCAACTCCTTTTTCTAATGCAAACACAATTTATCTCATGAATACTTAATCAATGAACTGCCATTAA